AAACACTGCTGTACAGATGTACTGCAACACTGTGTGAGTGCACCAGTCCCCTTTAGGCCACGCAGACGGCTCAATTATTGCATCATCAGTTTCTTCGATGAGATGGCTATATTTGGTTAGCTGTATTGTGAAGACTTCCTCTTGTACTGTAACAATGAAAAGCTGTCCACTTTAAGGGGGCAGGTGACATCTACAAACCACTGTAATGGGAGCGGTGATCCCTGTAACTGGGATTACTGGCATTTGTGCTCCTTTTGGTATTTTTGGCCTGATGGCAATGCATTAAAGTTGTCATGTTGGGACGCTGTGGGCTGACTGTCTCAGCCACTTCACTTTTTTACAGGTACAGACAGCTGAATGAAGGAAGCGAAATCAGTTTAACATTATATCGTCTGTATAATATTTTCCTATTGTCAGAAACGTTAGCCTCACAGCCCACTTCTACTGTGGATCGAAAAAGTTTATAGGAAAAAAGAACACCCACTCCTGATGTACAGACTGTAGTTGTATTGTTAGAGTGAGTTTGTGTATTGGCATGCACTGTTAGAACAGACATGGACGTACTGTTTCTGAGCTGACTGCAGATGTGTGAAGCACTGCGACAAATGTTCATATTGGCACTAAAACTATCTCCTATTTCAGGCTTTTGCTGAGTCTCCAGACGGTCGGCAGGTGCATCCTGCTCCTTTTCCTTTTAATTTGTCAGATGTGTCTCGAGAACTTGATTAAAGTCGATCTGTGGCAAATTAAATTAACTGGGCATGACCATGTATTTCATACTGCATGTTGGGACAAATATTGAGCTATGACGTCCAAGGAACTCTTTGTAGTTTGTACGGCACCGAGTGCTCGCAGGAGGGCAGTGACCTCAATAAATGTGAACTGGAAGAAATTTGGTGCCACCCGACTTTTCCTAGATTTGGATTTCGCAGTGAAACTGAGTAACTGAGCAGGAAGGCCTTGTTCGGGGATGCGACCAAGAGCCCGATATTCATCTTAAGGCTTTAAGAACTCTCCTACAGAGGTGAGAGTACCTGAGCAGCACTCTATAAATCATGCTTTCATCTTGGAGCAGCTAAAGAGTAGCAGCTCTGAGTAAAAGGAGTATTTATCTGGTTTGCCAAGCAACATCTAAAGGACTCTCTGTGTTTAATGGTTTTCTCTGATGTCATGTTGCAAAAACTGCCCTCTCTGGGCAGAATTTCAAACTCTGTATCTGTTAAATCCCAGCAACCTGTACCCTGCTGATGCAGTCCCTGCAGAGGAGAGCGGTGGTGGTATCTTCATGCTGTGAGGGGTAAATTTAGTGATAGCCGTGGCCACATGCAGAGAGGTTCTTAAAGAAATCTTTCTCCAGATGGTTCGCCTTTCGGCACTACGCTGATGTGAACTGAACAGTAAATGCAAAAGTTTCTGGTTTTCCATTAGTGATCTGAGCACCTCACAGAACATCTGAGAGAAAACCTGAAGACGCTTCTCATCCAATCTGATGGTGCATGCCAATATCAGACAGGAAGAATGAGTGGAGATAAGCTTGTGTAGATGTCATACACATCAGTCTGGATACTTTTAATGTGTCATTGTGGGCTGAGTAGACAATAAGTCTTCAGGTGGTCTGTGTAGGTGGACTTTGGCTGCTCAGAACAACACAAACACAAAAGGGAAGGTAATATAGAAACACACACATGCACGCGGGATCGTATACACACAGCATCGTTTTATCTCAGTTCTGTGGTTGAGCATCGTCACATGCTTTTGCCACTAGGTGACGAGACCTGAACTCGTAGTGGGTGTCAAATCTATAAATCTAAAATGTCAAACAGAAAAAACTCTCACGGTGATTTTCAGACGCCCTTTATATTAAGAAGCATTGTTTATAAGCTCAGAAAAAAATCAAACTTGACCCTTTACCATAAAGTGCTGCAAATTCTCAGGACAACAAGAAAAAATGTGCCCCATCAGCAGCTTCCTGAATTCTTCATGAGAGTTCTTAGAAGCTCCACTTGTTTTCTTAGATCTAATCTCACTCTTGTGTTGAAACTAGACAGTTGCGTGCTCCCCTTTTCCACACTCAGGCAGGAGTGCTCCTGTTTCTTTGTGGGCCACGAAATGCCATTAGAGGCCTGACTAATCAGCTAATACAAATGACAAGCCCCATAAACAAAGGCTGAAGAGAACAAAGGAGCCAGTGTCGTAAGAAAGCGTGACAACATTACAGCTGAGATACCTGTTAGACATGATGTCATGTTACAGCCTCTGTCCAAACCCAGAGGCGGGAGGTGTTAACACTGATAACGTGAAGGGATTTTTTTTCTTTGTTGACTGAAGTCAGTGTTAAAGATGTAACAAGGTGGATGCTCTCATTTTCAAGTGAATATTAACTTGTTGAGCAGGTGTCATTGCTACACTCCCATAGTGAGTGTCTTCCTGAACAGTAGCGTCAGAGCCTGGGGAACGTCTGTGATATATGTGGATGATGACGCCATAACACTGCAGTGAAATGCTGTACATTCATTCATTATTTAGAGAATTATTATTTAGAAAAGACAGGAAAGCAGAGAGAGAGAGTTTGGGGTAAGACACAGGAAATGGTCCAGAGTGGACTCAAACCCAGGTGCCTGCAGTGACCTTTGATCATCTGCTATAGCAGCGCCCAAACTCTGGTATTTTATTAGTCTTAGTCAACAGGCATATGCCACTTTATTTGGTACACCCGTCCACCCTGCTGTTGAACGGTTGAACCTTGCATTTAACCATGTAGTCATGTGAACCTGGTGAAGTTCAAACTGAGCACATTTAAGTGGTTTTGACCGTGGCACTTTTGTTAGTGTCAGACAGGCTGATCAGAGTGTTTCAGAAACTGCTGATCCACTGGGATTTTCCCACACCAACCATCTCCAGGGTTTACAGAATGGTCTGAAAGACAGAAAATATCCAGTGAGCCGCAGGTCTCAGAGTGAAAATGCTTTGTTGATGCCTGGGTTAGATGAGAATGGCCAAATTGCTTCGAGCTGAGAGGGAGGGAACAGTAACTAAAATAACCTCTTCTTAAACCAAAGTACGGACACGAGCATCTCTGAACACATAACACATGAGACTGTGAAGCAGACGGGCTACAGCAGCAGAAGACCACACCGGGTGTCAGCCATCGACAGAAGATTAAGGCTACAAATGACCGTAATTGGTGAATTCTACAACAAACGTTGTCCAATGAAGTTAAAGAAAAAAATGTTTCCTGGTTGAATTACTCTCAATTTCCACTGCAATATTCACATGTGAGGGTCGGAATTTGTCATAAAACCAGCTGGTGACATGACAGTGCCTATAGGCATTCTTCTTTTATGTGTAGTCTGTGGGGGTTGGAGTCCGCCTCCAATGACCATTAGAGCAAATGTAGCTCTCGGCACTTGTGTGATGGCTTTGTTTTTCATACCCAGAGGTTGCCACCTGATTGGTAACTGTTATTAAAAAAGCAAACTGATGTCATTTTTTTCTAGTTTTCCCACAGCCGAGTCTGTCCAGTGCTGCTTCGATTAAAATAGATGTGGCATTCATTGTACTTTATTTGTGTTGCATCAGGCCTGGTAGAACTGCAGGAGAGACTTTTTTAGAGCCAGTTCAATAACATCAATATTTACACCCTGCTTTTTATGAGGCTGCTATTCACTCTCTAATTTACAGCTCTGATTGGGCGGAAGTTAAAATGTCAACTTTTGCTGAAGTTTTTTCCCAAATGTCACTTTGATCCGGTGATGGGAACACAGAGACTCATTGTATTTCAAAATTCTCCAGCGTGTCTCATCCGTGGAGCTCAAGCTTGCCGACTTTGGCCTCGCAGTTTCAGAGAAGTTACCGACTACTATGTGTTTAAAGTTTCTTTCAAGCCTCATTGTTTAGGAGTTTATTAGTGTGTAGCTTGTGGACTGCAGAGAAGTGTCAGCATTACATCCTATATTTATGCCTGACCAGTTTTCCACAGAGACAAACAAAACAGGAGCGAGAAATGCTTAGTAGAAACCATGACAGGAAAGTAGTGTATGTCAACAGAGCTTCCATTATTTAATGAGCTTAAATGTATATGCACTCTCACAAAATGATGTATAATAGCTCGGTCGGGCTATTATTCCACAATGTACAAGAACAGACTTTCTTAAAAATAACAAACAGAGGAACTCTGGGCCTTTTTGCTTTGAGGCAACAGCGCTAACTGCTGTGTGTTTAATGATATGTATTTGATGATTTTCATTTAAAATTGAACTGAAATAAACAGTAAAACCTTGAAATCTCAGAATTAAATTAACATGTTATCTAATTACTTTTTATTTCATGATATTGCACCTTTCGGATCTAGGAGGAATATAACAAATATCTACCAATATACTTCTTTGGCCCTCAGAAGTCACGATTATTAACAACACATGTGTGTGGATGACCTGGAGGGTAATGTACTCCGGCCTCTGAGCTCTATTAAGTTTCAGTCCCAGTACATTAAGGGTGAAACTTACACATTCATGTATGACTAGCTTCATGATTTTTACATTCTAATTCTAAAAATGATATTAAGATGAGCTAAACTGCCTCAGGGGAAGCTGGTCAGAGGGTGCTGTGAACTCAAAGGTGTCTGAGGGTGTTGTAAAGGGGAAGCAGTGTAACGGTTGCACCAAATATGTGGCTTCCTGTGCTGTTGCTCAGCACACGCACAAGTAAATATCACAGCGGTTGAATACCTGTGAGTAGAACTAATGTCAGGCCCGAAAGATGAACAGCGCCGTGTTTTATGTTTTTTAATGTCACTTCTGAGGTTTCTCAGAATGCATTTGTGGTCTGTGTTAAGCATTTTTCATTGAATGAAATGTCATAGCAGGATGTGTACGATCATCCGAACAGACGATGCTGTGGTGTGCGAAGGCTTCATGCTGCCTTTGATTAGGTGGGAAGTGGCACCACCGCGTGGCCAGTCAGCAGTGCAACGTGCAAATAAAAAGTGCATCAGGTTGGTTTACAATAATCTTTATTAAACGTCTATATGCAGAATTCAACAACCAAAATAGAATACTCAATTACATAAATTACAGAAGCACATAACAGTGAAAAGGAACATAATTATTCCAATGACTTTCACAGTTTACATTCATGTCGGCCTAAAAATTCAAAAACAACTCAGAACCAGCTGGCATTTTTAAAACTCTGTTCAGGTTGGACTGATGCAGTATACGATTGTTTGACCTTTATTTACTATGAAGATGTGGCCTATCAAGAGTACGAGGTGCCAGTTAGTAAAGTCTATATTAAAACCTGCATAATGGAGTTTTTTTTCTTTATTGTAGTGTTCCATGTTAGCCACAGAGTCTTTAATAATTGTAGACCATGATCAAATCCTTGCAGTATTTTTTTATATTGTGAGAGTTAAAGGGGACCCATTCCTTTTCCTTTTATATATATTTATATATAGTTTAAACATGTTAAACATTACCAGTGTTTTTTAAAAAAAAAATGAGGTCAGAATATGTATAATTATTCCGTGTATTACATTCTATTGGGGGTCAGTGTGACGTGATATAAGGCAGTCATTCCTAATATGAGCATATCAGGGGTGACAGAGGGAATCTTCCTATCGCTGTACAAAAACTGTCTGCAGTTCAGATGGTGGTGCAGCAGAGGGCGCTCACAAACCACTTATTATTGGACAGAAGTGAATGGCGCTAAATGGCTAAAACAAATAATTTACAAAATAAAAAATAAACTTTGTTTAAAAACGTGAGTCCAAGAATAAAAATATGCAGCTGGAGATGAGCAGAATATTTCCAATTTAAATATCTAGCTCAAAAATCCAGTTTGCTTTTATTCTAACTTGTTTATTTAGGGCCACAAGTAACATACCAGTCCAACCAGACCTCCAGTTCTATTGAAGCTTGATGACACCCCAGTAGGTATCGTCATTTAGAATTTCACCTGTTATGTTTATGCTGACACTGTCCAACGGTCTAAGTTTGACAATCTTGGCCAACCACACTGAGTTCTCTGATGAGGCCGGGTAGATGCCCTTAGCCAGTGTCTTAGTTTTCTTATCATGAAAGCCAGTTCTTTCCACAAACACACGTCTCTCCCGTGAATCTTCCCTGAAGGTCACCTGGGCGTAAAAGAAGTAGGTCCCGTTTTCCTGGACGATGATGGACGTTCCACACAGGGTAAGGGTTTTGTTTCGATTTTGTTTCGAAACAGAATCTGTAGGAAATATGGAGAACGTTTCTTTAATCACTCAGTTACTTTAAATTCATTTTTAACAATTGATTTTAACCTTTTTCTTCTTCTTGTTGTTTTGTGTAATCAAACAAATGTTCACGTCAGGTGTGATTTGAGGCCACAGGGGAAGGGTGGATCAAGTGAGTTAACGTATACACCATTATCCTTCTCAGTATGTGGGGGG